CCCCCAAGGAGTTAAATAGATATCTTAACATATGAACTTTCATGTTTTCTGCTGAAACCAACAATTCATATAAGGAGATGTATTTTAACAGTAAATTAACATCTTAACACATTGAGAAGTTCCTATTTCCAAACTTGTAAATTTTCTTATTTTTATTTGTTCATAATGCTTCCATTTTACACGATCTTTGAGAGAACCACTCCAAAATAGCCAAACCTAAGCAACAGACACATGAAGATTTATACACAGTTTACTAAAAAATGATCAAGCAAGAAATTTAAAAATCCTAGTTTCGAAATTGCACGGGATTCCTGTGAGAATCAAGAATTTGGACCTGCATGGCTAAACTGATCTCTAAGCAAATATGCAATCTATTGCTTCTACTCCACATGCACCAAATTCAAACTGCATATTGGATCACACAAATCCATATTTGCATATTACCTAGATATTTTTATGTCGAAGCCAAGGTCCATATCTAGACACAGAGAGAGAGAGAGAGAGAGAGAGAGGAGCAAAGATTCATCACATTATTCCACTATACTGTTTATGATTTGCATAGCATCTACAACCTGGAGTACATGAAATATGAATTATAGCCAAGTGTTTTTCTTAACAATAGAGTAACAGAAAGTTGTACACTAAGAAATGTATTAGTCAGCTCCATCATATACATTAAGATTGAGACAACATTTCCAATCTATACACTAAGAGTACCTAATATTTGCTGATTTACAGAATATATGACAACATTACTATGCCATTTGTTAGACACAAAACTATTTTATTTTAACTTGAATATGATCATCAGTCATATTAAAAGGTCACACATTGATGTAGGTACACTATTGCAGGAAACATCTGCAAGCTCATAGATTCAACAAGGAAAAAAACAGAAAAAGTAATTCCAAGATTAACCAGGAATATGTTCAAAACCTACTCAAAAGTCGAAAATCAAAGTCAGATAATACATTGGTGAAGTTTACATCACTTATTAGTATCCGTGTCACTTCAATTTTTATTCAGGTAGTGGAACAGGTCTCATGGCCAGTGTCATTTTCTCCATAAGGTAGATCAAATTAGACATCTCTCTCAGTTGCAGTTCATAACAAAATAAAAGAAGTTCAAACAAAAAATTTTTAGGAAAAAATTTGAAGAACAACTATCCTATTCCAAATGTTCTTCTCAAATTAAGTGTGAAGGAAATAAATCATCCATTTGCTCATTGTGCCAAACAAGATTGTATTAAATAACAAATATCAATGAGGTGTGTTCGTTATACTCCTACCTACACCAAAATCCCAGCTATCTGCCTCTCCTTCTACGTTCAGTCCCCCTGCATCGAACATAAAGAAATATAAGGTTAAACTACATGATGCTAGGAAAGCTTACTGTGAACTTAAACAGCCCACTTGTGGTAGCAGTGGAAAAATGACAGCATCAATACTTGATTAACAACGACAAAGAATGGTGCCAATGGAAAAAAAAAAGAAAAGGTAAGCATTCCTGAATAAAAAAGTTTTTGATGATTATGGAGGTTAGTATTTGCAAGGTTGTTCCACTTGTTCTAGAAATGAGCAATAAAACTCATTTCCAAAAGATAATATGATGCTGGTTTGCCAAATTTGTAACCATCATTCAATTTGCAGAATTATAAAAGAGAACTTTGTACTACAAAAAGTTGAGGAGAAAATATGCACGAAAGAGATTTTTTTTTAAAATGATTTTGTTGAGCAATAGAAAAGGACCAAGAAATAACCTGACAAATACTGTTGGAGGGATCAGGATGTTCCCACAGAATTGAAATTTGTTAAATGTCTGCAGAGAAATTCTAATATGTAAGTGAAACTTTTATAACCTGAAGTCCTACATTCAGTTATTTCTCATTTATCTTCTTTTCCCTTTTGCCTCTTTCTTTACCTCAATGCACCTCCAGAACCTTCTCATTTACCAGTCACTTTTTGTATCTACATGGAAGTTAAATGCCTGAACACATAATATTAATCTTCAGTCAACAAGGTAAATAGTATTTTTGACAACTTAGCCATCTAAGATTGTGAGTTTTAAAGCAACCATATAAACAGTAATGAGTCAGATACTATACCAACAAAACCACAATCAAACTATGATATCAGAGTGTCAGACATCAATTAGAACGAAAAAATCTGGTGAAAGCTTCCTGAACAAGTACATCTCATAAGTCCTCCATAAACATCATGAAACTTTCTGACTCAATGCCATATAGATACCAGACATGAAGATCTAGAAAGTAAAATTTCAATATGACAAATAGATAGCTAAATTATAATAAGAAATAGGCAGATACACAAAATCTTTTGAAAAGAATACCAGGTATCGTTCCACTCTAACTGGTAACTTACTTGGAGATGTATCGGGAGCAACTAATGCAATGCCCTCACCCGAAGCTGCCCGCTGTGCTCCAGACTTCATAATAAAATTCTCATCCGTACATGTCAGGCCAGAGAGCCAGTAAAGGATCTGAAAAAAGGGCGGATAGCAGTATCTAAGCAGCACAGGATGCAGCGGAAATAATGTTTTCAGCAGATCGACTAACAGAACAGCCATGAAGGCAAAATGTCCAGTATTTACATCATCATGAAAAAACAATGATCAAAAGCAACAGAAGAATAAAAAGTGGCATAATATTTATTGAAAATATTTTTTATAACAATATTCAGATAGCAAACATCATGAATGACAAAGTAGCTTGAACAGAATAAACATTTTCATGTGAGACACAAAAACAATATATGCGACTCACTGATGATACCATTTTAGAGCAGGTAATTCAGCAGAATTTTTTTATGTATTGGTTCTAAGGACACATGGTGAAGTAAATTAAGACATTATACTTCACAAAGAATAACATTTTGGGGTTACAAATTCAGCAAAAAAAAATATTTTGTTTTGCTACAATAAGCAAGAAGAAGCAAAGTCATAACGCAGATCGTACATCTATAAATAAGTGGCACGAAAAATCGATCATCAAAGTTCAGATCCTGCTATTATCCAAGGTTCGAAAACGGAATGGGGCATCGATCGGAATGTTTCCACGCCAGGTCCCATCGACATGCGAGAATACATCCAGAGTTGGAATTAGGGTCACAAAAGAAACCACTTTCACGCCGGACCTTGGAAGGCTGGTGATCCAGTCATCTGAAGACGCGAGATCCATCCAATTCGAGGAATTGGGATCCAGAAGTATTTTCCTTTTCATGTTTTGACAACGGTAAATCGAAACCATGGACAAGAAACCCAGGGAAAATCAAGAAATGCACGATAACTGAGACTCCAAGAAGGGGGGATGGGCGGCGCGTACGGGGAACTTCTGGGAAGGGGAGGACGGCGGGGGGACGTAGACGGTGAAGGTCATTGAACATCCCAGCGTGGGGCTGAAGTGGCGGTACCGACGATTGTACCCTCCGAACATCTTCGAGCTGCTGATCTCCGTCGGCTTCTCCTCCATCTCCGCGTCGGTTTCCTTCTCGGGAGGGCAGTCTGCGGCGTGCGGTGGGAGCGTGCGGAGGCACTAAATGATTGCCGCATGTCACATGAAGCCACTCACAGTAGCCTGGAAATGGGACCCATAATTCTTTCAGCTCAGCCCAAGCGTATTATTGGCTAGGAAAAGTGGGACCGGTCCATTATCCTTCCACAGAGGGTCATCTCGAAGACCACCAAAATGGGCTGGAGATGGGACCCGTAGGGCCCTTTCGGCCTAGTCGGATCTACTATTGGGTAAGAAAAGTGGGTGTAGTCGTTTATTTCTTTAAATGTGGAAAACACACATCTCCCCCATCATATCACAGGTGCAGACTACACTCGGGTTGATAACCTAGAAGTCCACGTGGTAGACTTCGGTGGCATCAGGGTAGAACAAGCCGAAGTTTTGCTCCACCCCGGCCTGCTTTTTGTTCTCATTGAACATGGCGAAGATGTACGTCTCCAGAGGGGATGATGGCCTCTTGGGTGTGCCTCTGTTGGCCCTCACCCTCCCCACCACCTTGTTGTTGTAAGTCCTCGCGTTCTCCCTCGTTGCAGCGAAACCGCCATCGGAAGGCCAGCCCGTCTCGGAGATTATCACCTCCTGCAGGCCACGCCCGCCCACCTTCTCCAGCGCCGAGTACATGGCGTCGACCATGGCATCCAAGAGGTTGGTATAGCCGAGAGAGCCGTCCTGCACCACCGCAACGTCGGACGTGCCGAGCGCGTAGTCCAAGCGGATGTCCCTGGGGTTATCAGCGTATGCGAAGTAGGGGTAGACGTTGACGAGCAGGGGGTAGTTATTGGCCGCCAAGAACCCCACGACCGATGCCATCACTGGCCGCGCCGCATCGGAGAACGCGCCTTGTGACGGCGGGTACGAGACTCTGAGCGTCGCCATGTGCACGGCCGTCGTGACGGGGATGGCCAGGGCAGCAGCCCGCAGGGCGCGGTCGAGGTTGCGCATCGCCGGGAGGACGTACTCGGCCAAGCCGCCGGGTATGATCTCGTTCCCGGCGCATATGCATCGGAATCGCACGTCTTTGTCCGCGTGGGGTTTCACGTTGGTGTTAACCCACTGGGCGGCGAACGGCGGGTCGCTCGCCAGTCGAGGCAGGTCTTGGTTGAAGGTGCCGAGGATGACTGCGATCCCGGAACCACGAAGAGCTCGCAAGGCAGCTTCCACCGGATGAAAGAGGCGAACTTTGTCGATGCGCCTTGATCGGCAGAGGCTTACCACCACCCCTTCCGGCGGGAGGTTGTCGCCGTTCATCCCCCAGTTGACACCAATCCCTGAAGATGCTGCATCAACATCGAGTTGGGAGCATAATGAATACACTAGAATTATTTTTTCTCTTTATTATTATCATCATAAAATTGACTTTTAGAAAGCAATACGATTGACAAACAAAAATAAACGAGAAATGGAATTCAACATTAAAAGATTACCAGCTGCAGTTGCGGCAACGCGAGACTCTGATGCCATCTGCATGCGAACAAAAAGTTGTCAGGTCATCAACTATACGAACTCGGAAATTGTCTTACTTTTCGCAATAACTATTAAGGGTAAAAAAGTCGCTTGATTTAGCCAGTGAAGATTTTGACTTATCATAATGAAGAACAAGCAAGTGCGAGAAGGTAAGAGGTAGAGAGATGATATAGACAAAGCTAGAGAGATGAAAGAGAAGCTATCCTCACAACTACGAGGAGAGATCGGACCGTCGTGCTGGATGTGAAGAGGGACGAAAGCGGGGGAGGGGATCTATATAGAGCTCCTTCTTGTTCAAGCGTGTGCAAGAAAGTAGAGTTAAGGCGACGACTTCGATACAACTTCAGTGGAGCACGGCTTCTCCTACCTTCTCACCATGTGATCCACACCTGGCGAGTAGACTAACTCATATATGAAGCAATAAAACAAGCAGAGAGAGAGAGAGAGAGAGAGAAGTATTATTAGAAATTATTGAAACAGATGCAATAAATTAAGAAAAGAGACCGAAATACCAGACAGAATAAACAATTAAAAGTAGGAAATATATATTTAGCAATTCCACTTGCATTATAGATCACCAGCTAATTACGTGTTGGAGGAGTTCGGATTGAGGGCGATAGAGAGAGAAAACAATAGGTGCGCTGTCTCAGGACAATAAGTTTGACGAGAAAAATCCATGTGATTGGGCACTTGAGATAAAGTCAATGCATGGAGGATGTTTGAATAGGAAAACAGACGCCTAAGTGGGTTTGTGGGATGGATGCAGGAATTCATTAACAGGAACCTTATCCATTCACGTACACTTCATTTCTCCTCCATTGATCAACCACTATTAGACTAGAGGATAGGAACAAGACTTTTCTTGTTGTTTTGTCCTCCTGGGAATAAATGATAATCTAGTTTACATAAATTCAGAGAGGAATACCAGAAAAATTACTGCAGAAGAGATATTCATGCAACATTTTTTAATAACTATTATTGTCAATCGAAATTTCAAACGTTATAATTTTGATAAGGATTAAGTGTTAAATTAGAATTTAAAGGAACTAATACAATACCACTAGTTTTGATGGATATATAAACAAAAAACCTGTATTGAAAATGAATTCTTTAAGTTGTACCATATCAAAGTTTCAAGATTTAGATTTACTCGATATGGTACGATACTATATATCAAGCGATATACGTTTGATATACCAATCGATATATATATATATATATATATATATCCTAAGGCGAGGCGAGGCGAGGC